CTGAAGCTATTGGCACAGTATCCTGCTTTCATCATTGAGCACATCGCTACATCTTTGTCAGAGGGAGGCTGACATTCTGTGATGGGTCACACAATGTTTAGGAGCCCAAATATATTCTGGAGAAGAAGCCCACCCCATTTTGCCAGCTGCATGGTCACAGCGGTGTGAAGAACCAAGCTTAAACATCTCATCTGCAGCCCCAGCTGATGCAAATGCAGAGCTTAATTTCATGGCTAATATTCAGACTGATATCAGGCATTTCAAGGATGTTCACAAACAGCAGTAAATAAGCTTTATGAAACTGTCGCACTCTGAGGATTAGGAGGAAAAATGGAATCAGGAATCAGTCTCCTGAAGGGCCTGTAAATGTGTGGGGACACTCTCAAGGCCACCTTAATCTTCCCACGCTGTTGCTGCTCTCACAGTGCCTTTTGAGGAGTGTCATGCAGCTCCAAAAAGATACTGCTCCTGAAAAGCAAATGGAGCCAGTTTGGCTGGGATAAAAATAAGTTATTTTGATAAAGGACAATTGTCCAAACTCCTGTTCCACTTGGCACAAGCTGGCACGAGAGTGGTCACTGCTTTGCAAATTGTGTTTTTTTTCCCAGATCAAGGTAAAACTTAATACTTAAGTATTTCTAGCACAGCTTCTGCACTAGAGCATCGGGATTCAATTTGTGGGTGTAGTTTTACAGTGTTTAATTAAAATATTCTCCTCTGCCTGGATTCCTCACTACACTTGTACAGGCAGCAAAACAGCACTAAGCTTTAGCAAAAATTTGACAATGTAGACATGTTCTAATTGGCATATACATGTAGCTGTGAGAGGCAGAAAATTGGTTTTGTTTGTTGTCTATCTGATAGCATTTTTCTAGCTGTAAACAGGGGATTTGGTTCAGTCTCTAAGCATATCCCACGTGATCTCAGTGATCATAGATGTGTGAGTGAAGGTGCGATGAGTGCTTCTTCTGATGATAATGAACAATGCAATGCAGTCTGTTTGTCAGTCACCACAGATAATAAAAATTGTGCAGAAAATTCAATTCTCAAGTAAACTCCAGACTGGCTTTTGGTCTTTTACTTATTAATTTTGGATGATGAGCCAGCAGTAGTTTTGGAAGTTGCAAAAAAACCAACAAAGGGGTGAAATATTGTGATATTAGGGTTATCCTTTTCAGTTAATTAGAAGCATCAGTTGACATCTTAGTGACAGATGCATCCTATTTTGCATCAAACTAAAAAAAATGCCAGAGGTTGTAAGCAGAAAGATGTTTTGTAGAAAGTGATCGAACTTGACAGGTTTATTGAGCTTGTTTGGTATTTGTAAAGCACTTAGAATGGATTGAGAAATAGCAAGAAGCATTCTTCCAGACAAGTCATTTTACATCAAGGTTTAGTCATAAACAAAAGTACCCTGCAGCAGTGTTGATTCAACTTTATTTAATAGAAAACCATGCATAAGAATCAATAAAGGTTACTCATTTGCAGGCAGTATGATAGACTGCATGTATGTTGCAGGTGGTTGGGAATGGATTTAAATTTTTTGCATATTTTGCAGTTCTAAGTGTGGAATAGGACAGATTACTCATAAGATTTTTTTTTAAAAGCCCCATAGAGGCTGAAATTCCATTTCAGTTTCATGAAATTTCAGCAACAAACTCTGATATATATATAAAATCTCATTGAGAGCATATTTGTGTGTTCTAAAGGGAATTACATCACTACAGAACAAATGAAGTTTTCCTTCTGTGATGTTTTCAGGAAAAATTCAGGGCCTGTATATTCCTCTTGATATATTAAAGCACTGAAACTGAAGTAATGGTCAAGAAAAGGTAAACAGTAATGGGGCTGCTCTCACTGACTGTGGGACAGGCTTTCAAAAGCATGAATTAGTAACTTATCCTTGGCCTTGCTAAAGCCTGCTGCTATTTTGGTAAAATGGGAACTGATCAAGGATACTGTTGATGACTTCGGGGAATAAATTTCTTATCATATTTTGCATTCTGTTCTCACACAAGCTGATTTGAACCAGCTATCAAAAGTCTATAATGGTCTTAGGAATCCTCAGTATGAGTGGCTATAACCTCTCAAAAATGTGCTCTTTACTTTCAGTAAACTACATCTTATTTTGCCTACAGTCACTGTGTAGATGACAGATCAAGAAATCAAAATTGTGATGTACTGAGGTATTTAGATCTTCAACTTTGATAAAAATAAGTTGCTACAGAAGTTACAGCCACTTGCATGCACTCAGTCAATTTTTGTTAATTCTTACATTAATTATATATGCAAACGCAAGCTCAGAATTTCCCAAGGATCTTGGTTTCTCCATTTCAGAAAGGAGAAACCCTGTGGGTTTACCTACAAACATTCATAATTTTCTGTTAAAAAACAAAAGTCCTGAATTTGTTACAAAAAACTTTGTGTACCAAGCTGTGCTCTGTGTTTTCTTGACAAAGCAAATAGCTTTAGTGTTGGATGATTTATATTGAATTCTCTGAGAACCAGTCTTACGTGTATGCCAGTGCTGGTAGAGAAGCACAAGAGGAGACTATGGGTTAAAGAAAAATACCAAGAGAAAAGACTGGCTAATGGAAGTATATTGCCAATTATACTTTGAATTCTGCATTTGATATTTTAGTAGTGGTCAGACGCAATGAAGAATCTCATAGTGAGAACATTATATATCCTTGCAGAATTATAGTGAAGTCTGAGAGACCTAAATATATCCCCAAAGGAAGGGAGAGACAATGAGTGACCTTTGAAAGCAAATATTTGCTTCACAGTGATATAAACACTTCAGTGCAATAAATACAGGAAAATGAAAATGCTGCAATTTACTGTGGTGAAGGCAACGCTGCAATAAAGTGTTCTTTTTTAAGCACTCTCCCTGTTATTAAAGATACATCTATTCTTCCCATGGATATTTGTGGCCAGAGGATAACTGCATTGGCATATTCTACAAAAAAAGTTGGTCAGTACATCACTTTCTGCTTCTTTTTTGGAAGATTGAAAGAACATTGCCACAGTGGAAAACCCAGTGGAAAACCCAGTAAGAGACTGTGGTCTTCAGGCATCTCAGGAAGGATGCTGTGCTGTTTGAGTCTAAGTGCTTGAGTTGCAGCTATCCCCCTTTCATTTTCAGTCTGTTCGCTGGCAGAGGGAGCGACACGCACTGCCAAAGTGGAGAAGTTCAGCTCTAGGTGAAAGCATCAGCCTTCCCTCCCTTGTAGTCAAACAGTTCCCCAGGTGCTGCACAAGGTGTGTTCAGCCGTGAGACATGGCCAGGAGCAAGGCAGCTTCAGGGCTTTATAGGATCTCACCCTCAAAATGTCCATCCTTTTCCCTGCTCAGCTGCCCAGCACCTCGGCCATGCCTTTCCCCATTTCCTTCAGTCTTCCCTGTTTTTAATAACTTTGAAATAAAATCTTAGATGAAGACTACTTTTTGAATCTCTTCTGCAGCACAGCCTATCATCCGGCTCTAAGTTAGCCCAAGACTTTCAGTAGAGTTAATATTTCCAAAAAACCCCAACTCTGTCACATCCATGTTGTAGATTAAGCCCCAGAGCAGTCTCCATGTTCCTGTGGGGTATGTCAAGATCCTCATCTCCCTTCGTTTGCTCTCTCACTGTGGTTTGCTTGCATGCCTTTGGGCACAGCACCACCTCCATGGCTGAGAGAACCTGGTGATAACTATTCTTCTCTGCTTTTTGCTTGTAATTCTGCAGAGAATAATGCCTGCTGGTGAGGGCTTGACAGGGAGTGACTTCGGAAAAGACAGGCACTGAGATCTTGCAAATGTGAATTCAGGAGAAGGAGGTGATTCCTACTTTGTCACCATCTTCCTGCATCATCTTAGACAACTTATTTTACTCTCAGGGCTTGCTTGTGTTGCCTAAAGACATGTCTTTGGAGCTATGTCAGATGTTTTAGGTATTTGGTTTCCTGCTGCTGACTGTATCTGTCAGCCTCGTGCAGACATCTGGGATGCCCTCTGATGAGCCTGCTTGTCCATATTTAACAACTGAATCTGTCTCCTATCTACCCATTGTGGATTGAAGTCTTCCTACCTCATCTCTTTTTTTTTTTTTTTTTCTTTCCTGTTACTTTGCAGGTGTTTCAGAGCTTGGGCTGCTCTCTGTTTGGAAATGTTCTGGTGCAGGACAACAAGAGCTTGTGAATAAATGCTAGTGTGCTGAGTTGAAGCCCCCATCTAGCTGGAATGAGAACTCCCCAGTGAAAGGCCAAAATGAAGATGATAATTAGACAAAATGATGATACCTGACTGTTTGCTGAATGTGTTGGAAAAAATAACTGGAAACCAGATTTCCTTAGGGCTTGTGTTGCTGTAATGACAAAAAGCTCAATAAAATGATTACTTACTGTGAATGCAGCTACACAACATAAATGCTACCAGGGAAATGACTTTTTCTTGCAAACGTGGGCACCTCTGTCCCCAGCACTGGAGGGTACATGAGTGTGACCACGTACATGCAGTTGCAGTGCAGCAAACAAGTTGTACTGACACGACGACTCCATGACTCCCGTTTCCGCACACAGGAAAGTTATGAGCAATACATCCCACACTTCCCCCAGGCGCTGCAGCCAGCAGCAGTGACAGGTGGAACAAGTTGTTGCTGAGATCTCAGGGAATAAGAGGAGGTCATAAAAGAAATGCCTGGAGCCACCCTATCCCGGTACAAAGCAAGGTGTTGTTGTCCTGTCAGCTGTCAGACAACACTGCTGTTTTATGCAGCTCCAACATGTGCACGTCACTTTATCAGCTTACTGCACCCAAAGAGAAAAAAATGAAAGAAGCAGAACAGCCATTTTGTAACAATTTCTCTTCATAGAAATAATAACTTGACTTCCTATCCCTTTTACTGATAACAAAACCATTTTCGAAAATAAAACCTTTCAACATGTTATCTCCTTGCAGTCATTTCCAGAGCTATGTACTCACGTTTTATCTTTTCTTTTTTTTTTTTTTTCTGACAGTAACAGCAAAACCTCACAAGCAAAGATGTTTGTTTATTCTGTCTGGGAGAGAACCGACTGGCATGGAGGATGGTGAAGAAGGAAACCCTCATAGCAGGGCATCACATCTGGAGGAAGCTGCAGGCAGTGCAGAGATACCGAACAGACCTGGACTAAACAGGCTGCAGTGACTGATGCCCAGCTACCACAGGTGACTGCCTCATTCAGCTTCATTCCTAATTTAGTAGGCAATGTCTTGTGTTTCCCTGAGTTTATTTTGTTCTCACTAATCTTGCTAAGACCCTCACTTCTTCTGCGTATAGAAAACATTTTATTTCTGGCCAAAACTAATTCACAGCCAGCAAATAGCAGCTCATTCCCATGCTTGTGTTCAGATTCAATAGTTCCTCTTCTTCCTGATCTCTGTCTCTATCTCTGAAATATAAGGAATAGCAGTAACAACCTTTCTCATTTCTTATGACATGAAAGACCAGACTCTGTGTTAGTTCCCCATTGGCAGGAGGACTGTTTGTTGCCCTTACCATCCTAGCAGTTGCTCATTCAGTTTGAATTAGTCATCTCTGGAAATGGCTGGCCAGCATTTCACAAGGGATGATACGAGCCTTGCTCAAAGGGCTTAGTGCTTCCCCATCCCTCCAGGAGATACCTACTCCAAAATATCCTCCAACCTCACTTGCCATTTGCATAGCTGGATCTTGGTGGCTCAGGACAAGAAATCCAGGTATTAGTATAGAGGATTAAATAAAATATCTTGACTGGTGACAAACATAATTTTGTGGCCAGAATCCTGGAGAAAAGCCAAAGGAGACTGTTCAGCTGCAGGATGAAATTTCCAGCTGTGACACAATTCTCAGTGCAATTCATACCCTAAATTTGTTCAGGTGCTTCTCAAAATACTCTCCAATACTGCAGCAATGGCAAGCAGCCAGTTTCTCCTCTCTTTGATTACAGTGCAACCTGGGTTTCTTTGTGCTGCTCCTAAGCCACTAAATCTGATTAATGGTCAATTTTAGAAGCTAGGAATGACAAGTCATGCCCCATTTCAGGTTGGAGGAAGTTTCACTGCTGCCATGACCAGGGTCAGGCTTGCAGGTGGGACTACCAGCTGGCAACATGCTAGTAAATCCCAGCAGTATACGGAGGGTGAACAGTGTGCATGTGGGTTCCTGTGAAAGCATAAAAATTGAGTGTTTGGAGTTTTAAATGCTTTAAAGACAGATTTTCTTGAGACTTTACCTGTGACCTTCTGTTTCTCTTAGATGTCAGTTACAAAGGTAGAGTGGGTAGGTAGATAGATAGATAGACAGATAGGTGGAATATATATAAATTTATAGAATTGAAGTATTGCAAGATGTTTATTGAAAGATTTAAGAGACAGTATGAAGTAGAATAATTCTGTGGTGTATTTTCCTGAGGAGCATAAGGGAAGTTCCCACAAGGCTTGTTGCATTTTTTTGTCCTGGGTGTTTGGAACAAAAAATGCTGTTCCCTCTGCACAGTCTTCTCAAGAGCATGTACAATTCCCAGTCCAGCCCTTTCTCTCTCTGAACACACCCAGGCCTCTTCCACATCTCCTGGTTTAAGCTAGTTATCACCTCTGCTGAGCATCTCAAACCAAAATGATCTTTTGTTGCAGTGGTTGGAATCAAACCTGGGCAGTGGTGGGGAAACAGCGAGCAGGTCTGGCATCCTCTGTCATCTTGTAGCACCAAAGGTGTAGCACCTATCTGCACTGAAGTGTTATTGCTTCTTTTCCTCACTATTTTAAGAGTTGTTTACAGAACATGACAGCTAAGTGCTGAGGTTTGGCAGGTGATATGAAACACCTGCTTTCACTGGGCTCAAGGAAAGGGGTTGGCCATAGTGTGGGCTGGTGGTTGGCAGTGAGAAACAGCCAGTTTGCTCATATCACCCACAGAGGCCAGAGCAATGTGATTCAACCTTACAGAGTCATGGTAATACAGAAGATGAACGGTGTCTGTGCCTATTAACTACTCCCCAATGCTGCAGTTAGTGTTTGTGAGTCAGGAGCATTTCATCTATTTAATTTGTGATGCAGCATGAGAAAATTGCCCTAGCTCAGCCCTATCTGCTCGTTCTTTTGCATTCAGTCCTGCCAGTGGGCATGTCTTATATATCAGCATGAAGGCAAACAACTGGCTGCTGTGTGTTTATGTTTGAGGGTGAAGAGCCTCCTTCCTCCTTCCGTATCTTCATAAAAAGAGGCGCAGACTCTGTGCCAGTGGAGAAAGCAAGTTGAACAAATCTATGGCAGTAAATGGTAGACAGTAGAGATCATCTTCACGTTTCTTATAATGATCCTTGAAAGCAGACAGACAACTGAAGAAAGAAATTTTAGGCTAAATGGATGATAGAAAGGAAGCCAATGAGTATTACAGCAGGAGAGTGCATTTGCATCGGCCTCTGTCAAGAAGTAGCAATGCTGTATTTTGTGTATTTTGTGAAAGTGTAAGACAGAGGGAAATGTTGCAGTAATTTATGTAATTAAGAAGTGATTTTATAACTTAATTTAATGGAATAGCAAATAACTCCATCATTAAGACAGTTATAGAATTCTTAATTACTATGTTAAAATTTTATTAATTCGGTGCTATCCCTTCTTTTCAAACCCTGATGCTTTTAGGGCTTCAAGAGAAAAGCTCTGAATGAAGCCAGTGTTTTTAATGTGGAATGGATGGTGATTTTGGTAGCTGGGAAAATATAGAAAGAAATTTTGTGAAAAAAGATCCATAACTCAGTAATTCTGTTAAAGAGATTGGCAGTGAAATAGTTAGCACCATCAACACCAATGCTGTTGTAATTTAAATTTCAAGGTGATAGACGGGAATAAGGTTTTCCCCTGACAGTGTTTGTTACAGGCTGTCAGCAGACTCAGGAAGACGTTTCATTTATTTCTGTGTGGCTTGTATTTGCAGGACTGCTTTGCAGTCCAGGGTTCACACCCCCCACCCTGAGCTCTCTTATACCACCATTAAGGACTTCCTTATCATATGCTGAACAGAACTTGAGAACAGTGTGCTATTTGAATTGACTACTGCAGAAGCCTTGCTCCTTCACTTCTCCTCAATGTTCAATCTCAGCTTATACTCTTTTTTACTTCATAGCAACATTGAGGTTTTATAAGTGCAACACTGCTTTGCCAATGAAGCATACATGTACTTCACTGCTGTGGCTATTCTGGGTAGGTTTCACTGGCTTCCAGTGTGCTTGCCTGGGGACTGAGGTGCAGACACAGTGCCAAACAGTAGCTTTTTCTAGCAAGAGCTGGTAGCGTAAACTTCAGCCTATGCAGATGTGATCTTGGTAGAAATGAATGACAACTGATACAACTCTTGGTACATAAAAGCATTCCAATAGGGAAGTACATTTCTATGAGTTATGATCTTGAGAGTATTAGGAAAGTAAATAGACAATTTTCCCCTATAGACATATACTTGTGGTAAATAAAGCAATTTATTGTATTTATAATATTCATCCTTTTTCTTCATTTCTCTCTGATGGTATATGCATGGCCGCGTTTCAACTGAAGACCTGATATATTTTTAGCAGAAAGACTAAATCTTCTTTGACTAAGTCGCCAGAGTCAAATCAGCACTGACAAAATATAAGCATTACGAAACTGGACTGATGATGTTATCTGAGATGTTTAACTGAAGAATGGGGACTTTTTAAAGCTATGATGGATTCAAGGAAGATGGTGAATAAAAAATCACATTGTGCTTGTGTCTCTTGGTTATAGCTGATTATTTATGTGCTTTTCTTCTTCAAATGAAGAGACAGTACCTCAGCTTTAATGATATGATTTCATTGTCCATCTATCAATTCATCTGTCAGCCATCCTTCTATTTGTTATTGCACACAACATTTGAAGCAGGTAGCAAGAAGGTTGGGAGTTCACCAACTTGAGTTCTTTCCCTGAGGCTTGTGGCCATTTGTAGAGGGGGGATTGTTTTGAGGAAATACAGTACTGTAAGTGAAATAGAAAAGGTACAAGTGTTAGGCCTGAGGCAAAGAAACCACTATCCAAAAAATGTCTCCTGAAGTACCTCACCTGAAGTACTGCATCCAGATATGGAATCTTCAGTACAGCAGAAACATATATCTGTTGGATGACATCCAGAGGAGGGCCACAAAAATAACTCAAGGGATGGAACACCTCCCCTTTAAGAACAGGCTGAGAGAACAGGGGCTGTTCAGCCTGGAGAAGAGAAGCAAGACCTGATATCGCCTTTTCAGTATCTAAAGGAAGGCTGTAAGACTCTTTAGCAGGGTCTGCTGTGATAGGTCAGGGGGAAGTGGATTCAAACTAAAAGAAGAGAGTTTTAGATTGGATATAAGAGAGAAGGTTTTTACAGTAGGGGTGGTGAGGCACTGGAACAGGCTGCCCAGAGAGATGTGGATGCCTTATCCTTGGAGACATTCAGGGTCAGGCTGGACCAGGCTCTGGGCAGCTTGATTGAGCTGTAGATGTCCATGTTCACTGCAGGGGAGTTGGACTAAATGACCTTTAAAGGCCCCTTTCAGCTCAAATGATTCTATGACTCTTCAGTATTTCCTGTGGATTTTCTCTAGGGCAACAGAGCTGTAATAATGGAAAAACAAAAAAAAAAAGGGGGAACTGGTCTTTTCCAGGATACTCTGAACAACTATGCTTTGCAGACAAACAGCTATGCTCTTGGCTCAGTATTCACCTTCTTGTACATCCAGAGCAGCACAGCCCTAATTCCAGATCTGTTCTCCTCAGCTTTGTACAGTGGTCTCCACTGGGCCCTAAACTGTGAAAGGTAGGAGCTAAAGCTGAAGAAAGTCCAGCAACTCTGACAATCTACTCTGCTTCAAGAAAGAAATAGTAGTTGCTATAGCCACAGACACATTATAAAAAGAAAGGACTCTATCTAGGTTTTAACTGCTCACATTCTTTGATTACATATAGATGATAAATAGATAAACACATGAATGTGTAATATGCAGCAAGCACAACATAAGGATGCAGCACAGTATCTTTTTTAAAAGCAGTTTACATGGTAAATAGGCTTGAGAACCCACTTTCGAATCCACGAACCTTTTACAGATCTATTTTTTGTAATTTCAAGGCTTCACATGGGCTAAAAGTTCCACTGACATTAGACAGCTCATCTTCGTTAAGGGAAGCTGGAGCCTTGACAAAGC